TGTGCTAGATCAAGAATGGCTGTGATTCAAGAAAAAGCTCTCCAGGATAAGTCATGAGTTGGAGTAGAATGCAACTTTTGAGGATAAGAGAAGCGGAGCGGAAAAACTGTCAGCAGAGTCTCAGGAGCGCGGTGGCCCCAAGGTGCAGACAGAGCTCCTGACGAGGCCATCCGCCTGCAGGAGCGGTGCACACAGCAGAGACCGACCGGTGGGATTTACTCCCACAGGCTAACAGTCGCCAGCGCAGGCTTCCGTCTCACATGGGGAAACCAGGACCTCAGAAGAGGACGCACCAAGACCCTGGAGAAACCCCGGAGCTCAGGGTCGCTTTCCTGGACCTGGGTCTGGAGGAAGAGGCCACTTCAGCTTCGCGCAAAACAGCTACAGAAGGATAAAGAGGGAGAGAAAACTTCGGGGTTCTGCTCCCAGCCCCAAGCCTCTGGTCTTGCAGAGGTTCACTGTAGATCAGGAAATGAAAAAATATTGTTCAGGACTGAACACCCTCAGAGTTTCCTCCCCCTCCTCTAACTCCTTAGGTGGGGCTGGGAAATCACATTCTAACAGCAGCTCCCAATGCTGCCTCCTCCCTGGAGGGCAAATGTCAAGCCCGGACTTCAGCTGTTTTTCAGAACCAGGAGCTCAGCACCTGACAACTCGCCAAGCCCTCCTCCACCAGCTCCCTGTAGCCACCACGCCTCTTCCCTAAACTCCCTGTAACCACGCCCCAGCTCCCTGTAGCCACGCCTCCTCCTTGAGTACCTGCAGCCACTTCCTCTCTCTAGCTTCGGGTAGCCACGCCCCCAGATCTCTATGGCCACGCCCCCAGCTCCCTGTAGCCACTCCCTGGCTCCCTTTAGCCACGCCCTCAGCTTTATGTAGCCACGCCCTCTCCCAGTTCCCTAAAGTCCTGCCTTCCAACCCAGTTCCCTGTAGCCACGCCTCCACTCTGAGCTCCCTGTCGCCACGCCCTCCTCCTGTGGCCTTATAACCACCAGGTCTTCAAGATAAAGATATACTTCTTAGTATATCTTTATGTATTAAATATATTGATAAGTACAGGAATAGCGTTCATAAGGAATTTGGTCCATATGCATGTTATGTTTTGATCCTTTCTACCTCTTCTGCCTGCCTCCCATGCACTCCCAGCCCCCGACTGCTTCCCATCCTCACGTGTGTCTCCCTTTCCCATCATCTTTTATTTTGCTCTTTAAGTTATTTGTACTTTGGGTTTCTCACATAAGAGAAAACATGCAGTATTCAACCCTTTGTGTCTAATTTATTTCACTTAGCGTTAGGCACATCCATTTTTCCACAAATAACACATTTACCCTGCTTCGTGGCTATAGTACACGCCTGTGAATAAATACATTTCCTTTACCCAGTGTCTGTTGGCGGGAATACAGGCCGCTTTCCATTTAGCTGTCGTGACCTGTGCTGCTATAAACACGTTGTGCGCGTCATTTTGTGCACGACCTCTTTCACATGATGCCTTTAGCTCTTCCAGGAAGATACCCAGAAGAGCTGGGTCTAATGAAATTTGTTTTTAGCTTTTTGTTACTGATTTCCTTGGCAATTGTACTGATTTACATCCCCACCAACGGTGTAGAAGGCTTCCTTTCTCCCAACCTCCAGCATTTGTTCATTTTCAAGTTCTTGATGACACCCATCTTTCTGGAGGAAGACAGAATCTCAGTGTTGTCATGATTTGTGTTTCTCTAAAGGCCAAAGATGCTGAGAGTTCCCCCATGTACTATCTGCCATTTGCATTTCTTCTTTGGAACCAGAGGACAAGTCAGTGTCTACAGGAAAACCTGCTTAGAGGCCAAATCAACAGCACAACCCAGGAGAACAACTTCTTCTAAGAGGTCGGAGGTAACAGAGATTGCTAAAGCTTTTGTCTTATTCAGTGGGATTTTGCCCTCTGTTTTGGGGAAAGTAAAGAAAGAATAAAAAGAAACAAAACCCAAAACAAAGAAAGTCAAAACCAGTCCAAACATCACTAAAATAAATATATTTGGATAAAATTTACCACTTAAGTAAATGACATTGGATACTTTTTTAAATCCACACATGTATTACTTATAAGGGAAACTCAGTAAACATAAAGACAGGCAAAGGTCAAAAACTAAGGGTTGAAAAATGGCAAGTTAGACAAATATAAACCAAAAAAAAGCCAAATACCATGTTAGTGCCATTAGGCTGGACTCTAAAATGAGGTCCCGAGCCCTGGAACTGAGAAGGAAGTGGGTTTCACCATTCCATACAGAATAGACAGGATGAGCCTCACATGTAAGAAAGACCAAGTCAACTGAGTAGGGAAAGATTAGCACAGTGAGAGAAAACAGGAGGTGCAAAGGCCCTGGGGTAAAGTATGGCTCTAGAAGTGCCCACGGAGTAAGACGTGGGCAGGTAGGTGAGGGGGTAGGAGGAAACATGGAGGGATAATTAATTCCTTGACCTAGACTCAGAAGACAACACAGGAAATCAACATCTGGCTGGTATGTTCTGAGCTTGGGCTGGATTCTAGTCCAAATGGCGATCTGAAGGGACACAACAATGGCATGATATGGACAGGCATGATGGAGGAGATGTGGGTCCCAGTGCCCAGGAAGCAGAACGGTACACCGCAGAGCCAGCCAGTGACAGTGATGCACCAGAGCACCGCCTGAGGCCAGAGGCACCGGGGTGATCAGACTAAACTATGGATGGAAAACCCAAGGCCCAGAAAGGGTAGGCATGTGATCCAGGCACACACAGCTAGTAAGTGGCAAAGACGGGGCCAAATTCAGGTCTTCCAAGCTAGGGTCCAGGCTGCCACCCACTCTGCTATGATCCTGCTGCTTGGTTTCTTCTGGTGAGGCCATTAGCCATTCTCTCTGTCTCTCTGTCTCTCTGTCTCTCTGTCTCTCTGCCTCTCTGTCTCTCTGTCTCTGTCTCTGTCTCTGTCTCTGTCTCTCTCTCTCTCTCTCTCTCTCTCTCTCTCTCTCTCCTCTTCCTCCCTCCCTCCCTCTCCCTCTCATTTTTAGTTTTGTTCTGCAGTTTGTTTGCAGGATCCACTTATTTTAGGGTTGCCTCTAGCTATGATTTCTCTGACAGTAACGCAGCTCTTCTCCTCGCTTCCCCATCAACAACACTGTGACTATACTTTCAGGATAAAGTTCTGGGCAAATGGGGGAAGATGCGAACTCCACATCCCCCCTCTGAACACCAGATAAACCCTGGCCCCTCACCCTGGGGCACTCAGCTCTGTTTGTCAGCCCGTGTGGCTGTCAGGGCCAGGACAAGGGACTTGATGACCCCAGCCCGGAGCGGCTGTCATGCAGCCTGGAGCTCTGGGTCGCACTGTGCCCGAGAGGTTGAAGCCCTGGATGCAGAACAGGCTGTGCCCGGCTTATAAATAGCCCTGCTGAGGAACAGTCTCTCCCGGGGCGCTCCTGCCAGCTGCCTTCCTGCCGGTCTTTTCCCATGCACTGGGCACCTCGTGCCAATCCCACGCACCACCCCACGCCTACCCCGTGTGGACATGCAGATCTTGTCCTGGGCGAGCCCCATCTGTGCTGGTGGGGAAGCACCTGACCTCACTGGCAGGCCCGAGAGGGAAGCAGAGCCCACAAACCCTCAGCAGGCAGTGTCATTTGTTCCCAGAAATGTTTGCATCATCAGCAAGCGACCTCTTCTCCCCCTCCCCACCCCACCTCTAGTCCCTTCCTTAACCCCGCAGGAGGGCTGCAACTTCCACCAGCAAAAGAATGAAAAAAAGCAAAGCCCTAGGTTGCAGTGATGTTTGCATTTTGATACCACTGTACAGCTCATGACCAAGCCTTCCTGCAGCCTGTGGCCAAGCCAGGTAGCTGTGACCACGCTCACAGTGGCCTTATGTCTGTCACTTTCCTTCTCACGGAGGCACCTGCGACTTAAAACAGGAAAAGCTCACATTTCGGTCTACAGTCAGCTGGTTCCAAGGCAGGAAGACATGGCAGAGGGTCTGGCAGAGCAGAGCTGCTCAGGGCATGGCCCACAGGAAGCTACAAGGCGGGGGAGGAGCCAGAGAGGAAGAGAAACCCTTCCAGGCCCCGCCCCAGTGACCCACCTCTTCTGCTCAGGCCCCACCTCCTCATGTCCCATTTAGCCATCACATCTCTGTGGCCCAATCATGTTCCAAAAAGCCCTGACTACGAGCACAGGAGGCTTTAAGAGGACATCCAGATGTAAGCCACGACACCATTCAGGGTCATTTGTGGATGCGGAGCTTCCTCTCAGTTCGTACAGGCCTGGACCCCTTGTTGTGAGCAGCTCATTCAGTTTTAATTGCTTTCTGGACAAAACACCCAACACCCACAAGTTCCGGGAGGAGAGGTTAATATTAGCTCACAGTCTGGAGAGGTTCCAGTTCACAGTCCACTGGGTCCAGCTCAGCACAGCACCGAGAGGGGGGTGGCGGAGGAGAAACAGTCCATGGCAGGGTAAGCAGGAAGCTGCTCAACTTCCTTCTGTCCCTCTGTGGCTGGTGCCCCCCACACTAAGGGTGGGGCTTCTGTCTTCAGTAAATCCATCACCCACACCCAGAACTAGGCTAACACAAGCATCAGGCGTAGCCAGTACCACCCACCCATGATCCAGTGTCACACACCCATGAAGCAGTCACTCCCAAAAGCCCCACCTATGACCGCATAAGCCTGTGGTGGGACCTCTGGAGACAGATGCCATAACACCTCTCCTCCAGCAGCCCTGACCACCGGGGGACAGCCCTTCCTGCTACCAAGTCCCAAGGACATTGCATCCACCCCTCTCACCTCCTCAGACCTCAGCTGCACCTCCACCAGGAGCTTCTGCCAAGGTCAATCATGGGAACACGCAGCTCTACACACCCACCAAGGCGGGCATGGGGTACCAGGAGAGGCCCAGGGGCACTCAGGTTCCCCAGGACCAAGCCGCCCAGGCTCCCTCAGCCATCCCCAGTGGTCTGAGTTCCGAGCTTTGCATGGACAGTCCGCACGCACCTGATAGTCAGTACGGGGTCTTCCAAGGCTTGACCCTCCCTCGGCTTTTCAGGCCCAGCACCAGGAGCCAGGAGCTTCCTGTTCCACAGTGGAGCTCAGAAGCTCAGCAGGGCCAGGCGGGGTGAGCAGACAGATGGAGCTCTGGGCTCTGCAGAGGTGGCACAGGAAAGCAGCTGGCCTAGCTGGGAGGCAGCTGGAAGCAGCAGCTACCGGTCCAAAAGACGAGCCAAAACTCAGCTTTCACAACTGATTGAAGTCATTTTAAAAAGAAGAAGAAAAGCAACAAAGTGAAGGGTATTCCCTCCCCCGGACAGGATTAGAGGGTGCTCCGGAAGCCTGCAGGGCCAGACAGGTTGCAGAAAGGAGAAACACTCAGGAAAGAAGACCTAGGATCTGCACAGAGGCGCAGAGGTCTGATCTGGACCGTCTGCCATTTGGACAGAGACGCAGGAAAAAGATGCACAGAGGATGGGCTGGAGGGAGGGTGCTGTGAGAAATCCTCGCTGAATCCTCCCCGGGCTGGGCCCCACGCCAGGCTCCCCGGGGCCTGCAGAAGCAAGACCAGCCGGCAGGCGACCGGGCTGTCTCCCACTGCGCAGCCTCGGCTGGGGCCCGGCCACCGCCACCACCATCTGGGCAGCCTCGATTCAACTGAGATGCATCCCAGTAAATCTCAGACCTGAAAGCAGCAGATAGACACAAACATCTTTATTATTAAAATAATGTCTTCTCATCCTAACGCCTCATAACGGGAACTCAGACACACATGCAACAGGCAGACCTAAAGCCAGTCATCTCCCGCTGACTTGTTGACAAAATAAGCCCCAGACTGCTCCCGGGCTCTCAGCCGCAGAGCTGTGAGCAGGCTTCCCATTGCTGAAGGAACCAGAATAGACACCGGATAAACCTTCATCGTCACATCATCTCGGGACAGGAGCACTTGTGCGGCACCCGCACTGCAACGGTCACACAGGAGCGCAAAGTGCCACGCATGACACAGCATGGGTCGGCTTCATTTCATTTCTGTGCTTTTTCAAGGAAGCACCAAGGCGTTTCTGTTTGGCTGGGAAAGACTCAGGATGCGAGGAGCCGAGCTGGGAAAACCAGTGTCCAGGGAAACGGCTCCATCCACTCCCCCTAGATCTCTCCTCTCTCTCTCTGTCTCTCTCTCTCTCTCTATTACTCAATGATAACAGTAATACTGAATGATTCCGGACCAACGGTTTCTCCTGTGTCTCAGCATCCATCTCCCGAAGACGGCCAACACCCACTCTCTCTCCACTCGATGCCCTCGTGCATCCCCAAAGACCTCTCAGGCCACCCCGCCTGACCCGACATGCTGGGACCTCTGGTCAGCATGATTACACGGGGCACGGAGGTGACGATCACTTCACCCTGCAGAGGGATATGGGAAGCTGAGTAGCTGTTACAACTATCACCGAAGCACGAGGCCAAGAGGGATGCGGTCTGGGGCCAAGAAATTACACGAGGAAGGAAAGAAGTCACTGTCAGTCTGAGGAAGAGGTGGAGCTCTTGGTTAGCGTGTAACAGGAATGGGCCTCCAAGAAGTGGGTAGGCGCTGGGAGAAGGAATATTCCGGTATAAGAGGAATTCTCAGCGATACAGTCCTATGTCTTGCATGGGGTCAAACTGCAGGACAAAAGGGTCAGGGGAAGTGGGCAACGTCCAGTGTTGCAGGATTTTGAACGCTGTGTCAGCCAGAGACCGTCTGTTTCCTTCTGTGCCTCCGCCAGACTGCGCTCCCAGCTTCTCCTGCGAGGAGGCCACCTGACTCTGCTTCCCAATGGGTGTTTCCAGAGTGAGGGGAGACCTCAGGTGCAACAGCACGAACCCCAAAGTCACGCTCCTCCAGCTAAAGCAGCCAACCAGGGGGTGCTCCACGGTCTTCCCGAGGCCTCCGAGGGCTGTGCAGCGGGAAGAGGAGCCCGGGGGTGGTGCAGAAGCCAGCAAGAGCATAGGACAGATGAACCAGTGGGAAGAGCTCCCATTAGGACACTACGGGAAGCCGGACGTGGTGGTGCACCCCTGTCATCCCACCTATGAGGAGGATTGCCATGAATTCCAGGCCAGCTTGAATTACAGAGCAAGACTCTGTCTCAAAAACAAATAAATATAAATAAAAAGAACCAAAGAAAGAACTGCAGAGCTGTAACGGATGAGAGGGGAAGAAAGGAAGTGGCCGAGCTGTTTCTCACCATCCACTTCCCCTTCCTGCTCCACTGCTACTTCCAGATGGTTGAAGCAGAGTCCTAAGATCCACCCTGACGCTCTCACCCACAGCAAAGGAAGGGGTCCCTTACTGCCCCATCCCCCTCGGCATCTGACACTGTGGAGCACTGCCTGCCCTGCTTTCTGGAGTCTGTCCACTCTGAACCACCACCTCCCCCAAATTTCTTCCTGCCCTCTGAACTCCTGTTTTTTTCCTCTCTCTCTTCTTTTTCCATCTCAATTATGTCACCCTGAAAGTTCTGGTTCTGAGCCTGTTCTCTTTTCTCTATGTTTGTGAAAGAAGTGGCTGATACATTGTGTCAACTGGAGAAGTTTAAGCAGCTCAGCAGAGGGCCAGGCCCCTCATTTGGTAAACATCCTTATCCCATGGAAGAGGAGGGCACACCTTCCCTGGGCAGGCTGCTTACAATATAAAGGAAGAAATAGGCTTGCCCCCCACCGCCATGCCACCCACCTTTTCCTCTTGCTGGTTTTGCTGTCTTTTGCCACCTGAAGTGTTGCCCCAGTGCCACCCTGCCTTGGAGCCAGCTGATTATGGACCCTGAAACCTCCACAAACTGTGAGCTAAATAAACCTTTCCTTCCTTCATTTTGAGCTCCAGGGTGTTTTTTCTCAACAAGGAGAGAAAAGTAACTCAGAAAGCTTGGAATTGGGGAGTGGAGGGTCTCCGTTGCTCTCTGGCTACTGTCTTCTGCTCAGACCCCCAGAGCTGCCTCCTGCACTCTGACTTCTCTGAGATCAGATGTCAGTATGGGATTTTCCACCTGCGTAGCCCACACAGGTATCTCAGGGCCACCCCTACCATATCCTGTGCAACGCGAAAGTCATTTGCTGATCACTGCGTCTCACTACCCATCACACCAACCAGTGCTCTTCCCTCTCCGTGTTGGGCTAAGACCTTTGGTTTGGTTGCAAACACTCTATGAAGAGCTCTAAGAATCCCCTGCTAAAACTGAGAGACCACATTCCCTTTCAGGGTCTAAGAACTCCACTCTAGATGACCACCAGCTCCTGAAAGTCACCCTAACGCTCACCGGATTTCACATGTGGTCCCACTGTCACGATCCCTACAAATGCACATGTCCCTCAAAATGCAGGGAAACGTGCCTGTTCCACTACCCGGATACCACAGGCTCAGGGACAGACTTACTCAAGTGTTAGTCTTTCTGTCTCCTCACTTCTCCTGGGTTCTAGTTCCCTGCTAGGCACGTTTACTTTCACCTTTCCAATCTGAAGAAGATTCTGGTTCAGGAAGTAAAAGCCAAGAATAATGCACACTATTTCGCTTCTCCTCGAGTACCAGAGGGTGCCATTTCCCCCAGGCTGTGGGCTTATTCCTATCTCATCCTTCCTGCTCAGAAAATAGCTTTCGGCTCCTGTCAGTTCTCATGCTATTCTTTACAAGATTTATACAATCCCAAGTTCTACTCAAATTAGTCTGGACTCCTGTGGCTGAAAGAGGCAGAAATCCCAGCTAAAGTGGAATTGAATTGTATTGAGTCAGAAGACCAAACCACAAGAAAGGCAGGGCGCAGATGATCTTGAAGATGACCAAGTTGAGAATACAGACCCTGTCATGGTTTATGTCTGTGGCCCCCAAGCCTCATGTGTTTGCATTGTGCATTGTGATTGGTTCATTGTCTAGTGCTTGGATTGATGGTTTCAGTGCTCCACCCACAAAGGGGTGGAGCCAGGATGTGATGTAATGGCAGGAAGAAATGTGTCTTGCTTTTTGCTGGTTCCTGTTTGCTGTTTGAATCCTCCATGAACTGCGGCCCAGCCATGCCCACCTGCCTTGGAGCCAACTGAGTATGGATTGAAAACTGAGTATGGATCCAAAAACTGTAAGAAATAAACTTTTCTTTTCCCAACTTGGGCTTCAGGTACTTTGTCTCAGTGACGAGTAAAAAGTAACTAAGACAGACCCCACCAAAGCTCCACTCTGGTCTCAGTTTTTCTCCATGTCTAGATGTCACCCAACCAAACCAGCTTCTTTGGAGCAGACTCATGACTGCTCCTCCAACTTTTAAGTGTCAGGTATTTTGTCTCAGCAACAGAGAGATGGCTGATATATTACATTATATATTTTATATGTGACCCCAAACAATTCCTCTTCTGTGTGGGCCAGGCAAGCCAAAAGGGTGGACATACCTGAGTTAAGTGTGCAGGAGGCAGTGCACAGGCTGTATGCAAATAGTGTACCATTTTATATAAGAACATCCACAGATGTTCTGTGTTTTAGTGTACATGGGTTGGAGGGTCTTCCAGTCAATCTCTCATGGATACCAAAAGACCACTGTTATTCAGTCCCTGGGATGAATGACAGGCACCTGCTAAGCTGTCATTAACACCACTGAATTTCTAATAGGAGCAGGTTCTCATGGGCTGCACTGCGTCTAGCTCAAAATTTGTTTGATGTCCCCACATACAAAACCTCATAATATGGCCTTATCTGGAGATGGGCCTTTGAAGAGGTAATCAAGTTAAAATGAAGTCATTAGAGTGGGCCTGAAATTCAGATGACTGGTGTCTTCATAAGAAATTGGAGCACACAGAGGTCACAGAGAGGAGCACACCTTCAAGCTATGGGGAGAAAGCTAGCCCTGCCCACACTACGTTCAGGCTCCAGCCTTTAGAACTGTGAGGAAATAAAGGTCTGTGTGTGTAAGCTGCTCAGACTGCGATATTTGTTACACAGCATTAGCACACTAATACCAAGGTGTGGGAAGCAACCTCCCAGCTGAGAGACCCTATTGGCATTCCCGAGTACTCTGCCTCTGTTCTTCCTTTCTCTTCCCGGTGGCTGAGGTAAGCAGAAATCTGTCTTCCTGTCATGAGAGAGACTGCATTGTTCCCTTCCTGCAAATCATTCCAGGAATGGATTGGGGGACCTCACTTATGCTTTCAAGTGTATGCTGGGAAACATAATGTATGTACAAGGGATATCTTCTCTCTCCACCGAATATTTGTAATTCAGGACTGAGATTATTCTATTCCAAAGAAAGTGAATAAAGTTTACAATCTGCCAAGGACTCTCCAGGACCTGTATGTAAGTTCTAGGTGTTTACTAAGTGTAAAGCAAATTGAGAAACACAAATAGACATAAAATTAAGACACATTAATATGCCTGGAGTGTCACATAGGCAGCAGCTAGCCCTCAGACCGAGGCCACTCATCTCTGGACACAGCTGTTCCTTCATGTCCATGGGAACTGATGCTAGGATCCCTCTCTGATACCCCAATCTGAGGATGTCTCATACCCTGTGTAAACAGCGTGGAATTTTCATATGAGCTATGCATCGCTCCTGTACACGTTAAATCATCTTTAGATTACTTGGAGCATCTAACCCAAGGCCTGCA